TATCTATAACGATTATAATAATAAGTACAAATTTTGTGTACATTTATATGGGTTCCGTACTAATGTTTACACGTTAGACGACTACGCATCCAAATCAGCTATGCAGTGCGATTGCCTAAAAAAATGTTCAAAACTTACAAAATACAAAAAAAAGAAAAATATATAAAAATCAAATTTTTCCAAAATTTCAAAATTTCTCAAAAATCTATTTTTTTAAAAGTTTTGCAAAGTTTTTTTACTAATTTAGTTTTTGGTACGAAAAGTTCCACCAATTTTCCTTAAGGCACAATGCCACGCACCACTGGTTTCGTTCTTTGATCGCGATTTTCTAATGTGAGGTTAAAAATATGCTTGTGTAAAAAATATTGAGTAAGTAGTTTACGAGATATACGTCTAACTAATGTGACAGACGTCAAAAAAGCAATACCAAAGAAACGACTTGTAAGAAAATGTGCAACTCGCGTATAAAATTAAATGTATAAATTTAAAATGATATGTTATATAAATAACATATATAAGAAAACAAAATGAATCTTATAATTTCATAAGTTATATAATAAATATACTAACATGGCCTGCTCTTATAAGAAAGCTCATTTTAGAAGGCGTATTGCAGCAAAATCCTTTTTATCTAATATATCATTAGATGGAACTTATCGTGACACAAGCTTGGGTAAAAAGTGTCAATATTTGGCTGCAAAAAATGTTAATTCGGAAGACACAGAAAATAACAAACAGTTGGACAAAAATATTGAATGGAATAATACCACGAGTGATAATGAAAACAATGATTCATATTGTGTAAGGAAACATAGTCCAAAAATTAACACTAAACATAGGAAAAATCTGGACAGAAGGAGTTCCTACAGTTCTGATTCTGAAAGCGGTTTAGTTTCGTCTAAATTACCTTTGCTAGATAAATCAATTGCTTGCTCTACTCCAGCCAGGGATAGGTATTTTGCTTTAATATAACTATTACCTATTTTTTCATATCTATGGATAGTCTTAAATTATTATAAAGTATGCTTTTTTATATAATATTTGACAAACCAGCAAAATTTTCCAAATTTATATAGCTTTAATCAAATTTGTGTATTATTCTTTTGTGAGAAAAATCACAACGATAATGCATTGTGAATCTCACTTATATATGCCACATTTGGTAATATATCAATGTTTTACTAAAATTTTACTTAATTGATTATAAATGTTATAAATTTCTTCAAATATTTTAATATATAATGATAATTATGTCTTGTATAGTTTTTTAACAAGTTGCATTTTAATTATTATCTAGAACCAGCAGTGTTTCAGAGCGTAAGCATATACTTACATCTAATTCAAGAAGGAATACTGGAAGTTTCTCGCAAATATTACAGGAAGAATGCCCATGCAACAGAATTGAACGTGGTTTGCCAAATAGTAGTACAGAGAGTTTAAGTCATGGTGTGTAAATGTACATTTCTAATTATTTGACAATAACTAGAATTGTTTTTCTTTTATTGTAAGGTATATTCATTATAATTTATTATAATAATTTTTGTCTCTATTTTTCAAATTATAATGTAAGCAATTATATATATTATATAACAGCATTAAACTACATCTTGATAATAATGGATTACTGAATAATAATGCATAATATTTGTTACAATACTTTTAAGTCAAATTCTGCATTATTACCTGACTATTTAGTAAACCCTCACTTATTTGTAAATAGTTTTCTTTCATGTAAAATCATTCCAAGATAACTTCTTATCTTTTCTTAAATAAATATGGGCAATGGAAATCTGATTACATTTTTTGATAAAACAAAGAGATCACACAATTATCATAATACCATTTTTTGACTGGTCAGGTGGTTTAAACTGCAATTAAAATGAATTCAAATGAAAAAATGTATATTTAATTTATTTATTAATTATAATTTGATTTATGCTTATTCATTTGAAATTATGAATTATGCATTTTAGTCGAGCTAGAAATATTCTATTGGAAGCAAAGCCTAAGAAGTCAGATTTACAAGCTGATGAATCTCATAGATTTAGAGAAGGACGTATGGTTTTTGTTCTCACACAAAATAAAATACCATTTATGATATTTTCTGCTCTGCCATATTATAAAGGTGCAAGGAATGGAAGGTGAAACATATATTTTTTTTAAATTTGATATAAAATATTTGTAAACTTTGTACTATAAATTTTAATATATCAACTATTATGTACTTATGAATATAAATATTTAAGGCCTGAAATTCGTAGAGAAGGAGGCAGACGTCGCAATACTTCAGGTACGAGACCTTTGTCAAGCATTAATGACGTTTCTTTGGATCCTTTTGATTTGTTGGGTATAGAGAAGGTGAAAATGGGCAGGTATTAAATTTAATACTTTTTGTTTAATACTGTAAGAGTTTGTCTTAAATACTTACATTTCAGTGATGCTGCTTAATATTTAACTTAAAAATGCTCTTAAACAAAATTTATGTTTTATATATTTTCTTCAAAATTTATTAATAGTCTAAAATTAAATTATTTAGGAAATGTCATATGGAAAATTATTGGTACCCACAAAACTGCTAGGAACAGCCTGTGGGTGTGATACAGTTTGATGGTGTAAGAAATTCTATTCCGAAATGCCATCAAGGATCAAGGTGTGATACATGAACATTGTTTGAAGGAAGGTAATAGCATATCTGTCTTTATAAATATATTTTTTCTTTTCAGGTTTTATAACACATGAGCTAAATTTGAGAAGTCAAGCTTCTCCGCCTCCTGTCTTAAATCATAGTGCTTCACATATCGGAGATAGTAAAGTAGAGTGGGAAGATCCACAACCAGTTGTGCAATCTACTACGGTATATATACTTTTATTTTTTATTATAATTATTTTGCCACTAGTAAGTAGTGAAAATCTCACAATCTTCGGCAAGTTTGTGTGTGTGTGTGTGTGTGTCTGGGAATTGACCTGATTAGTTTTTAGTAAAGATTGGCCCGGTCGTTTTCTTGTAATAAAGTATTAAAAAAAATTTTTCGACGATTTTTATAAATTTTTTTTTTTTGACGGTAGAGACCATAGTCTTATAGATCATACTAAAATATTACGGCCCTACGACAAGCCGTTTGATTTTTAAAAATCCTCAAAGTTTGCAAAAATTAGTATCCTTTTTTGGCGTTTGTCAAAATTAGACCTTTCATCGACGTTTGCTCAAAAACGCCTGAACCGATTTTAGAAATTTAAAAGCCATTTGATGTATCTCGATGAGGATTATCGTTTGTCAGTTTTGTGCGACGATCTGCCGAGCCGTTTCTTTGTAATTTGGAACGTTTGGCCGTTTCTTGGTAAAAGTGTTAAACTACGGAATCGATTTATAAAAATAAAATATTGTTCGAAAAATATTTTGGTTGGGAATGATACTGATTAGTTTTAGGTGCAAAACCTACCGAGCAGTAGTATCTTTTCTTGTAATTAACTGTTGAGAAAAAAATTAAGGCGATTTTTATGGAACTTTTTTTGGCGATATATATATATATATATATATATATATATATTATATATATATATCATTGCCTTATAGAACTTACTGAAATATTACGGCCTTACAACAAGTAGGTTCATTTTAAAAATTCATCAAAGTTTGAGAAAATGAGTCGTTTTTTGTAACAATTAAAATTGGATGATTCACTTGGTATAACGATAGAGTACTTGGTCTTAATGAACATACTAAATCATTAAAGTCTTATGGAAACTGGTTCAATTATAAACATTATTGACTTTTGAAAATTTGCTTTTAAAAAATACTTCAAGTTAACTTGTTCATTCGATTTCAATTATGTGTAATAAATCCACTCAGAATACTTTTGATCACTCATACATTAATTTATTTTTTATTGATTAATTCGATTATTTACACATATAGGAAAGTTCTTGTAACTTATTGCTTCAAGGCAAAATGCTAATACCAACTAGTTTTATGTATATATTTATACATTTAATGAAATAAAAATGTAAATTTTTTGTATCTTTTTTGAACTTCATTAAGGGTTAAATTTTTACTTGTAATTTTATATAATACATTTTTAGAAGTTGCATTACTCACCTAACTTATTGGATGATCCTGAACTAATAGCTGGAAAACACAGAACTCTTCTAACATTCACTTCTTATATTACATCTGTGATTGATTATGTTAGACCATCTGATTTAAAAAAGGAATTAAATGATAAATTTCGAGAAAAATTTCCTCATATTCAACTAACTTTAAGCAAGTTAAGAAGGTATAATAAAAGTCTATAATAATTATCACTAAAATACTTTAATTTTATAACTATTTTGCAATTCAATTTTCAGTATTAAAAGAGAAATGAGAGTTATAGCTCGCAATGAAAGTGGCGTTGATCTACTCACCGTAGCTCAAGCATTTGTCTATTTTGAAAAATTAATACTGTCCAACTTAATAACGAAGGATAACAGGAAACTCTGTGCTGGTGCTTGTATGCTGTTATCAGCAAAATTAAATGATGTGAAAGGAGAAGCATTAAAGGACATTATTGAGGTATGTACTTATAGTTTCTTTATTACAAATTGTTCAGATTTTAAAAATAATAAATAATTGTTTGGCTCATAATTTTGATATTCCATCATTTAATGGTGAATATTCACAAAGAAATTGGTCATTTAAACTGGTATTAGATGATACTGGATATGATATATTCAAATTTTTTATCATATAAAATTATTGTAAAGAATTATTTACATAAAGGTCAATATTTTTCAGAAAACTGAAAATATATTTCGCTTAAATCATAAAGACCTGATTGCATCTGAGTTTGCAGTACTAGTAGCACTGGAATTTAGTTTGCATGTGCCAACAAGTGAAATTTTCCCTCATTATCAAAGATTGCTACATGAATCTTGATTTAAAAATATTTATGACTGGCTAAAGATAATTAAAGATAACTTGGTTTGATGAGAATGTAAAGAGTTTGAATATTGTTCTGACTACTTTTGTTGCATATTGATCTATGCACCTTACCCAGATGAAATTGCAATTGCATCACAATACTGCGATTTGTATTGAATGAATGAAGATCTTTTAACTGACTTAAATAGCAAGTTGTCAGGAAGATGAAATCACAGTCTCACCCTGCATATTGATAAAGATATCGATGAAGATATATCAAAGTGATTTGATATCTTTATGATGTATTATCTGCAAAACATTGTACAGTGATTTTTTCCATAAGAATCTCAAGTTGGTCTAACCTATTTGTTGATATGACCAAGAAAAGGATAAGGGAAGAATGTTGTTAGAAGCGCTTTAAATTTTAAAAACAAAATACAATTCTGGCTTGCGTTTTGTCTTTGTTTGTTTTATTTGGTGATTTTTTATCAAAGCAAAGCCTAATTTTGTTTAAAGAACTTTCATTTGCATTCTATATTGAAAGAACTCACAGTATACTTCTTTTTTATGATTTTTATTGTGATTTTGCACTGTAAACATCATTTTTTGTAAATTCTAAATATATTGTTAATATATACTTATTTGCACATTATAGAAAATTAAAGTTTTTAACACGTTGAATAATTGAACTAAAATTAATTACTTTTAAAAAAATAAATAAATGAACTCATGTTTTCACGGTTCCATATGTAATGTATCACATACAAAAAGAAAATGTATACATGGTAATCTATTTCCCGAACATCCATAATTTTCATAATATTATTTCGAAAATCTCTCGTATATACTTATATTGAAAGATTTTTTTGAAATACTATTTGGTGGAATTGATAAAATGAAGTTGATGTCCCAATAGTTTTACATTTGAAGCATTTGTTTTTTGGAAAATATTTATTTCAAAAATATCGACTCTAGTCTAATGTCTAAATATTTAGAAATATTTGTACTCAGAAAAGTTAAAAGATCATGAACTTATAAAGTATTTGTTTTTAGATAATAAAGATATTTCAAACAAAACACTATCTTTTCGATTTTACATATTAAACCTATTTTTTGATAAAATGAGTTCTGAACATTCTGCCCAATCTTTTTCACGCGTAAATATGTTTTATCAAAACCATTTACTAAAAGTGCGAGGTTTATCACATGCTTCTTTACACAAAAGTGACAGTGATTTCTTTCGAAAGAGCACTGTTGATTTTCATGTCATTCCTGATAGCAATTTAGCAGAAGAAAGAAGAAAGCCTAGTATTGATGATGAGTTAATACTCTCAATGTATAATGATTTACTAGAAGTAATCGTGGATACATGGGATGAAAAATCTGCTGTAAAATATGTAAGTAAAACCTTATTGTAAATCATTTATGCATTTATAGCTCAAATTAACAATATTTTTCAAACTTTTTTGGGTTGAGGAAGGTGGTCAACGTTCATTAGAGCAAAAATTAATAAATACTTTCTAAATTATCCCTAAAAGCAGAAACTTTAGAAATGCTACAAGTTTACAAGCAGTGTGTATATTTAACTGGAACTGTTTTTATATTTTTAAGTAGTGAGAGATAAGTATATATTTAAATTTATATCTATACTCTACAATGAATGTAAATCTACTACAATCAGTGCAAATTTACTCAAAATGTAGAACATCTCGCATAAATCTGCCCAGAACTAGATATAGCTTGCCCAAGATTGTTTTTAGAAATATATTTTATCGTTTTTTATATAAACTTATCATATTGAATAATTTAGATAAATGATAAAATTACAGTTCAAGAAACCTGAGCCAATTCCAAATTATTGTGACACAAGTGTTAAGAGTTCTTCTCTTTCATCGAGTCGAGAAAGTGGTCAGAATGGATCTAAAACTTCAGCAGGCAGCAGAAGATCATCATTAAAAAAGAAGGGTATGTGGCTGTAATAAATATCTATTATAATTATATTATCTGGGATTAGTAAATATATGTTATATAATATTAATTATCTGATAAAATAAATTAATTGTATGGATCATTATGAATTTCTTAATATGAAAGCAGAGTAATGGTATTATTTAATACGTTTCATTTTTTCTATCAGTAAGTAAATGCTATTTTATTATATATTATCTGCTGAAATATATAATATATTCATGTTTATCTTTTAGAAGTAAAAAATAAAAAAGATTCCAAACGGACGAGTTTGTCTTCTTACCAAACCAGCTCTGAAATTTTGAGAACTGAAAGGGAAATATTGTCTCAAAACTTGGTAAGATATAAGTTTTTTTTTATTATCTATAATATAAATTGTTTGTTATTTATTAACTTCCTGAAGAAGAAGTTTGTTTTTATCAAAAAAGCCGAATTGCTAATTTTATGTTTTCTCGACGTTTCAAGCCATTCTGAATCGAAGAAACCAAATTTGGAAAAAATATTTGTGTATGTGAGCAGATTTTTTGCCGTAAATCGACGTTTTTTCAAAAACGGCTGGACCGATTTCAAAAATTTAAAAGCCATTCGATGTATCTCGATGAGGACTAGCGTTTATCAATTTTGCGCTACGATCAGCCAAGCTGTTTATATTTTGTAAATAGCAGAAAAGTGAAAAAAATTTCGTCTACGTTTTAGCCCGCATTCTGAATCGATTTTGAAAATTCAACACCGTTCGAAAGATTTGGGTTGGGAATCGTGCTGATTAGTTTTTTGGTAAAGATCGGCCGAGCCGTTTTCTTGGAATGAAGTATTTTTTGAATTTGTTTTTGATGTTAGACGGCCCTACGACAAGTCGTTTAATTTTAAAAATTCGTCAAAGTATGCAAAAATTAATATCGTTTTTTGGCGTTTGTCATTAGAACTTTCATCGACGTTTACTTAAAAACAAAAATTTAAAAGCCAATCGATGCATTTCGATGTGGATTATCTTTTATCAGTTTTGTGCAACGATCGGCTGAGCCGTTTCTTTGTCAATAGCAGAAAAGTGAAAAATGTTTCGTCCAGTTTTAGCTCTCAATTCTGAATCGATTTCAAAAATTAAAAACGTTTCGAAAGCTATTAGTTGGGAATGATACTGATTAGTTTTAGGTAAAAATCTACCGAGTCGTTTTCTTGAAATAAACTGTCGAAAAATTTTCTTTGCCGATTTTTATGAATCTTATTTTGGCAATACATATCATGGTCTTATAAAACATGCTAAAATGTTACAGCCTATTATAAAATAGTTTAATGTTAGAAATTTATCAAAGTTTGAGAAAATATTATAATCAAAATTTGTGTCGAAAGTTGCTTTTGTGATGTGATGAGTCAAACATTATCAATTCAATAAAATTTAAAATAATAAGCTACAATTTTAGGGCATACAAGCACATATCTGTGCAATATAATTAATATAATTACAGTTAATTTAAATGTGTTTGAGAAAATTCTATTCGAAATCGCAATGTTTAGATTTAATTAAAAGCGATAACTTTATTTTTGAAATAAACTGTTGAAAATTTTTTCTAACTTTCTAAATTTTAATTCCGATTGATTAAGTCAATTCTTACACATTTCGGCAAGTTCATACAACTTGCCTTAAGGTTAAATGCCACTTTCAACTAGTTGTATTATATTATCACTAAACTAACTTTCAACTAATTTGTATTATCACATAAAATGAGCGATAAAATTTTTTAATCGCACCTTCTATAATTTTTTTCAAAGGAAGATGTTACCTCTCCGCTGGAAACTTTGATCGAAGAGCCGCTAAATAACGATTTAAAAGGCTCTAATCAAAATGATGCACCACAACACGTGTTTCCGGATTCTCTTGACCAATCTCATATGTCTTCTTTAGAACCTTTACCCGATTGGAAACCTGTTATTTCAGATGAAGATTGTACGATCACTTTCAAAAATGGTGGTATGTATATTGGACGAGTTTCCAGAAAGGGTATGGAAGGCAAAGGATTGTACAGATGGAGCAATGGAACAATATATCAAGTAATTTTAAATAGAATACATCAATTGCGTAATTTCATTATTGCGACTTAAGATTTATTTTAGGGAGAATTTTTTGACAATCTTCCACACGGCTTTGGATCGTACACTTGGTCTGATATGTCTTATTACGAAGGTCAAGTTTACCAGGGTTTTCGGCACGGAAGTGGATTTTTTGTGGGACCACCTGGTAAACCTTTTTATAAGTAATTAATTACTACTTATATAATTTTTAGCGGAAACGGTATAAGAGAAAAGATTTAAACGTTTTAATTTTAGCCTATCTTTATAAATACTGCATTTTTTATATCAAACAATTTTTAATGTTGCAAATCTTGAAATATTCGTTTATATTGCGTGCAATTTATTGTGTTTATTATAATGTATACTTAAGAGTACTATCGCCGCAAAGACTGAATACGTAAAACGTTGAACAAAATAATTATGATGATGATATTTTTTTAAGCAAAACATCCTGACCTTAGTTGTGTTTTCTCAACGTTTTTGATATTTTTTTATTCAATTGAAATCGGTTGATTAAAAAAAAAAGATCTAGTGGTGTATGGCCTTAAGGTAAATTGCTGAAACTTTCAGTACCGTAATGAAATATTCGAAAAATTGAATATTTTCAAATAGATTATTATAAAAACTGTAACTTATATGTTCACAGAAAAGTAAATAAACAAAACTCAATCAATAGAATTTAAAATGAAGGACATTGTCTTATAAGAATTATATAACAGCCCGTTACGTTTTTGAGGCGGAAATAGAAAAGTCTGCGTGCCTTCTAGGTTACGTAACCGTTATGTTCGACGTTATATTAACGTTTTAGTTACGTTTTGTGGTTTACTTTATTTTTAATAAAATATATTTATTATAATAAATATTTTATTAAAGATATATGTTGTGTGCAATATAATATTATATATTTTTAATTAATTTTTTATGAATTGAAGTTGACTTAATCGTTTAACTTATGAAATTTAAATTCTTTGCTATATTCTATCTCAGCATATGATTTCCTTCAGCTGAACCAGATCTACCAAGAATATATATGTCGGGAACTTGGAATCTAGGTAAACTAGTAGGAAAAGGCAATTTGAAACAAGGAAGTCAATTGTATGAGGGAACATTTGAAAATGTACTTGACTGTGAAAATATTGTTGATTTAATTATATCTAAAGCAACCTTGTATTTGTAGAGTGTACGCACTGGCAAAGGGATAAGATATTATGATCCAAATTCAGTTTATGCTGGAGATTTTATTAACGGCATCAGAGATGGAAATGGAACTATGGTCTGGGAGAATAATGATGTAAGAATTATAATTATGTTCATTATTTTAAAGAATATTATACTTAATTTCATAAACATGACAAATAAATATTTTATATATTCGTTATCTAGGTATATATAGGAAATTGGAAAAATGGATTGAGGCATGGCTATGGCGAGTACATATGGGAAGCCTATTTATATCCTGAAATATGCTTCTTTAATCAAAATTTATACTATGGTAATTGGAAAGAAAATCTTCGACATGGATTTGGTATTTAATATTATGTTATTAAGTTATTACAACAAATTTGGACATAGTTGATTAAATTTGAGATTATATATATTTAGGAACTTTAACTTTGATTAATGGATGTCTATATGACGGAAGTTGGCATGATGATATCAAACATGGAACTGGTCTCATTGTCTGCAAAAATGGTTTGATCATAAAATCAGAACAATTATATTATAAAAATCGCCCTGCAATGATCAAAGGCTCTAAGAATGTAAATGAAGATATATCTGAAAATGATAATCGTTTGAAGAAGAAAGTTATTACAAAACGTAAATATATATATATATATATATATATATATATATATATATATATATATATATATATATATTGGTATATGCACTTCTTATAAGTGATGTAAATAGTGTGCAGGTTAATATAAGTTTTTTCTAAATCTAACTTCAAGCTTCAAAAACGAAATCAAGACAGTCTTCTCCTTCGACAAAAAGTAAAGCAAAAGGTCAAAATCAAAAACCTAAAAAGTCTCTTTCAAAGAAACTACTGCATTCAGATTATTCAAAGTAAGTAAACAAATTTATATTCGTAAACATTCAAATGTAAACTTCTTATTACTTTGACTTTGATTTGCAGAATAGAAAGAGCTATGATTCAAGAAGTTGAAAAGCAATTACTTTATAATAGAACCTCGTATTCCGATAATGAATTCAAACCAAGGTAGTTTTTATATGAAATTATAAATTATAAATTATCATGTTTTTTATGATCTATTGAAATTACCACAGAATATTTTGTTTATACTCCCTACTTATATTTATAAAGCTCAAATAAATGTTTTTATGAAAATTATTTAAAATAATGAGAGAATTGTCTTTTTGTGTACGAATAAAAAATTTAATTTAAATCTTATTTTTCACTTCTAATTAAATTTTATTCTTAAACAAAGAACACTTTTCTATGTAGTATTTTGCAAAATTTTCATAAAATCAAATTTGATGTGTTGTACCTTAATTAAAGAATATTATGTGAAAATCTATGAAATCAACATCTCTCATACAAATAAGCTTAATTTTTTGTATACTCTTCTGTATAGATTCGAATCAATATACAAACATTTTATAAACTTATATTTTTCTTATGCAATTTTTTTCACTACTTATTATCATTTTTTTTCCAGATCTTTGCCATTTTATTTGCCCGACCATTATATCATCTTAGAATATCACTTAAATCGTTTAATGCACAACACACCAGAGCAAAGCAAATTTAAATCAAACAGAATAGTAAATCTGGATTATAGCCCCACAACCTCATTTCATACCGCACCTTTTTATGATAGCCATTCTAATATATTCAATTTAAAAATTGGAGATTGCATACAGAAGTCGCCCGAAATAACTGCTAAATTAAACAAAGATAACTTAGAAACAATTGCTTCATCGTGTGCAGATAGATTTTGCACATCGGCTGTGAGGGAGTCTGAAGAATGCAACTTGAGAAATATGATAATATACCATATGCATCTATTGCGCAAAGTTTATAATTTCTATGCTTCTCTTGGGATAAATGACAAATTACCTCTAAACTCGGAGCCAGTTCTAGTGAGACTATTTTTATGGCAACTGTTTAGAGATTGTGGGCTTTCGAAGAGAGGTACAAACTTAAAAATTTGCTATTAGATACTATATGTAGTTACCAGTATAATTGTGAATGATTTAAATACTTATTTTCTAGGTATCAATCTTATTCAATTAGATCGTGATCTCTCAATCAATGTATCCAGTTGTTTACTTTCTGATCATAACCCATTTGAAAAACTGCAATTCTTCCAATTCTTGCATTGCTTATTGGAAGCAAGTTGGTGTTTGTATGGAAAATATATGAACATACATAATTATAAGGAAGGAGTTTTAGCAGTTGCTTTCGATACATTTCTAATGGATGATGTAGCTCCGGCTATTGAAAATAGAAATGGTATTTATCTTACATTTGGATAGTATTATAAAATTGCTTAGGCATATTAATAATATAAATATAATGTTTATATAATTATTAGTTATTATAAGAGCTTTTTAGATGTATTTAATACATTCTATTCTTATCACACTTTAAGTTATAGTAATCGCAAAAAATCGAAAATGAAAATTTTTATATATCTTTGTTTCAAAAGTTTCTAAATATTTTGGCATACCTTAGAAAAAATGGATGCATGTCTGTGCGGATACAAATTTTTGACGACGATTTCGGGAACACCGATCAACCAATTTGAATAATTTAAAAAACATTCGATTCGTATTGATAAGGAGACGTGCTGATTAGTTTTTGGCGAAGGCAGGTCTAGCCCTTCCGAAGATACGGGGCAAAAAGTGCCAAAAATGGTAACTCAGTTTTTAAGAGAACAGATTTTAATAATTCAAAAAACATTTTACTTGTATTGACAAAATGAACAACCGATTGAATTTTTAGGAAGGCAGGTCCAGCGGTTATGGACTCTCAATAAATAAGTTAAAAAAATGTCATTTTGCGGTCAAAAATGTTTATTGGACATATGTACATCAAATTATCAGATATTTTATAGAGATTTTAGTAATGTGTACACATTTTGTGTTAATTTTTTTGAGTTCTGTACCAAGATTTTCAATTACGGTATGGGAAGTTCCAGCAATTGCCTTAAGACACGATGCCATGCACCCACTAGTTTATAATTCGTTCATATCAATGTTTTTCACAAATTAAAAGTTTCATGTGATAGATACTTCACATATTCAAAGGGATACCTCAACTTTTTGATCTGCTAATGCTTCATTTATTTTAGGATATGCTTTGTTGGAATTTCGAAACAGAGTTCCATTGCACACTATGTATTCTATGTATAAAGACTTGGAGAACCCCTGACAATAAGAAATCTAATTTACACGATTCAGAAACAAGGCATTGAAGAAGAATCAATAAAATAAGTTGTGAACAAGTCCAATTCGGTTATCAAGGAATTTTGGGAGATGATGTTATTTACTATCCTAGTAAGTTATATATAACTTACTAAAATAATGTATATATATATATTCATTTTTCCATCACAAACCATCATTATTAGTGACACTATCTTTCCAGAACCTCCTGATTCAATTTTGGAAAACAGTGTAGAAAGTACCGATCAAGGTCCTTTATGCAACTTGGATCTGATTGACTTAAAATTGCTAAAAGATTTGAATATGAAAGATCTTTTAATTTGCTGTGCAGAAATTTGCCCAACTATTATCTGCAAGGATGAAATTGTGAATATCGATTATGAAATCAATTTTTTGGAATTCTACGAAATTATCATCATTTGCACAGATAGAATATTTTATAATGAAGATTATGATAAATGGAAAGAACTCGAGAATGCAAGAATTGCAGAATTAGAAAATTTAGTTAAAATTATTGAGAAACTGTTAAGGAAAAGAAAGTGAAGAAGGGAAAATAAATTAGTATTTGGTAAACAACATTGTAACTAAAGTAATTAACTATAATATATTACTAACTATCCACATTACAAGTTTAAGATTTATAATATTCTTCCAAATATTCATCTTTAGGTTTTAAGATACATTTATCTTGTAAATTATCACCCAACCAGGATGCAACCCATAGAAAATCTGTCTAGGATCTTTTCATAGTCAACATTTCATATTCAGGATCATCTTCTATTTTTGGAAGAGTATATCCATACTTTTGGGCTAACACTAACCTCTCTTTACTTATTTCATCAGGATCTGCCAAGTAACCACGATTTTTGGCAGATGTATAGAAATCTATTGCATTCTGAGGTGGCAGCATTCTTTTAGGTATTGGAACACCTTTCTTGAAAAACTTTTCAGGGTTCATTATAGAATATAAGCAATGGGGATCAAATAAGCAGTTGTGATCACACCTCCATTACGCTCAATTGCAGCAATGACATTTTCAGTAGCCCACTGTACTTCAATATTTATTTTACATTTAAAAGATCAGCACCTTCATCAGTTAAATTTACTCCAAAATGATTATCAGAAGGAGCAATATGATATAATCCTGTTCTAATTAATGCAGCTAAGTCAATGGGTTTACTTGTGTCTATACGATTTGTATCAATCATCGTTTGTAGTTGCAGCAGCGAGAGAGGAGGATATTGCCGGCGAAGACTGAAAATACAAGAATTAATGTATATAAAGGCAGAAGAGTATGTATATGATGTTATGTAAAACTATATTAAAATGATGAACTGTTATCTTTTATCAAATAATTAACAACAAAAAGAATATATTTTTTTAAATATTCTAGGAAATAATATTTACTTGAAGTTGAAAGTAATAAAAATTATGTTATTGTAGCATGTACATATGTCACAAGAATAGTTGTGATAAGAATGTAATGTATCATAAGAAATAATGTAATTTCTTCTCGATTCCTGCCTTCATATCACCATTTGATTTCAATGGAAGTTGAAGTCAGACTTTATAGCATGATAAACAGTTGATCACTATATTTCTAACGTAATTAAGATAATGTCATATATTACTGGTGTCCCCGATAGTATGGTTCCTGTGATACTCTCAAATAGAATGGATTGTTTCCAGTTTCATAACCTAATCTCATGTAATTCTGGTGCTGGCCGGAACCTTTATTTCCTGCTCCATGCTTGTCACCACCGTGTTGAGCGCGACCACGTCGTTTCTAAATGAAAATTATATGAATTTAATTATTTAAAAATGATAGAATAGAAAGGAAGAAATTAAATAAGCTAACCTGTCTTCTGGTTCCAGGATTATCTCTTAAATTGCTAAAGACACTCGAGGTAAATTCCAAGCATCGACAATGCTTTTTCAGCACTTTGTTTAATAGACATCTTTTTTATGAAATTTATCAATTTAAAGAAATATATAACTATTTTTTGACAGTTCTGTTACATAGTGCACATATATAAATGTAGTTTTTTTTTTCAAATATTTTGTACAAAATGTAGTATGTGAAGTTAGGCACTTTAAATATTGAGAGTACCAACATGTTTGCACACTGCAATGTGCTGTCCATAGATAAACACATAGATAAAAAGTATAATAGATCGCTATGTCTGGCGGTTTGACGTTACCTCGATTGAAATACAAAATTAAAAATAGATGGGCAGCACATGTATAATATTTTAATCATGGGGAGTTATCTCCGAACAAATGCTCGTTACACTGTTTTGGCGAGGATTAATATTTTTAGCGAAAAAAAGATGTCGCTACTTGTTTCAATCTCATTAATCGAAAAGAAAATAGATGGCTGAGCGGAAATTAATCGCCATTTTACCTTCTTATATAGTGAAGCCGGTGAAGCCGTAGTGAAGCATTTATTTACGTTGTGAAGTATTTTGTTTATAATTAATTGTGTTCAAGGAATTATTATCAAATTAATATGGCAAAGTGCAGTAAACCAAATTGTGGTAACTCCAGAAATAATATAAAGTTGCATGTCTTTCCGGCATCTAATGATCAGGTATGTATATAATGATGTATTGTGTTTATATATATAATTTGTATAATAAAAATATAATGAAAATGTTTTAGATGTTTTCAATTTGGGTGCAGAGGACGAATAATCCTTTAATGGACGATTTAACTCCATTATATTGTGGCAAACGTTGTTATGTCTGTGATGCGCACTTTACAAATGTTTGTAAGGTTGAAAATTTGCCAAAAAGTTCGAAGACAAATTTGAAAATTAATGCCCTACCGATTTGTTGGGAATCCTTACCTAGAAGAGAATTGTCTCCTGGATAAACATAGATTCCGTAAGAATAATAATAAAATTTATATGTATTTGATAGTTAGATTTTAAAAAACTTATATTATTTTAGAACTTGGTGTGTCGATTCACAAATGTAATGTGAAAGCATAGACATACCGATTGTCAAAGAATATTAATCCCATCTCAGGTAGATAAATACAAGTTGTTTAGACATTAATTTTACATGATATTGTTGCTCACTTAACCTTTTTTTTAATAATTTATACATTAATATGCTTCCTTTGTTAGCTTCTTTGAGCATTATGGAACTTACTTATGGAACACATACTTTTTGCAGAAAATTACTGACAAATTAATCTTATATTTTCAGTTAGGAGATGGAGACCTAAAACCTCAGAAAAGATTTTTGCAGTACCCCTAAGATTGTCAAGTGCGGGTTAAAACAGTCACCTATTCTGACACCAGTTTTCGGAAAGGTATTTTTTTATATTAATTACAGCAATAATAATTAATTAATCAATTGTGATATTACAACATGTTATTATATTTAATAGATGTCCTAGGAGGTAACTGCAAATTGCTTCAGTATTCACTGATTAAACGTAGAAGTGCTTTAACTCTTTTCGTTGCTTTACACCAGGAGGTGTGTAAAATGTATGATACATCCAAAATTTTGTTCTGGGAGATAAGAAGAATTAACAAACAATGTAATAATTTAAGGGATAAATTGCAACAAAGTATACAATGTTCTGAAAAGTTTTCAAATATTCCGGAAACACTAAATGTAAGGGCAAGAAATTTTATATTGTCTCAATTAAGAGAGCATACTAAAAGACCGAAAGGAAGAAAAATTCACAGACGAGGACAAAATTCTTGCTTTAAGTTTGTATAAAAAGTCTCCAAAGGCTTACTACTTTTGGAGACAAATATTTATTTTGCCATCTCCTCAAACATTGAGAAAGTTGCTTTCAGAGATACCTTTGTATAGCGGTATAAATGAGTGTCTTTTTAATTAAGTTCAGCTATTTCTCATAAAAAGTATGAGAGTAGCAAATACTGTGTTTTGATGTTTGATGAAATATCACTATCTTCAGAATTGTCATATGATCGTAAAAAGGATCACATTGTTGGTTTTGTAGAGTTAGCAAATGGCAGAAAATGTTTATTTCCGGATCATGCACTTGTTTTCATGATTAAAGGAGTGAAGAATCGTTGGAAGCAACCAGTTGCTTTTTACTTTTCTGAAGGTGGGGTTAATAGTTCTGATTTAAAATCTCTTATTGTTGATGTAGATGAACAATTGCACGTGCATAAAACTTTTTCTGTTCATAGTAAACACAATGTTGATACTTTTTGATCTTTTATGGCAATTTTGATGATAACGTTTTCATCATGATCATGACACGGTTGAATGTAATGTTTAAAAAAACATTCATATAAAATCTATTCAAAGATTTCGTCAAATGCAGCTTTATTAATGATTGATTAGATAGCAAAATAACTATTAAATGCAGAGTTAATAAAGAAGAATGTCTCGTAAATGAATTTTAATCCTAGGAATTCAGTTTACTCTCAATTTTGATATCAATATATTTATATATATATAAATATTATTTATAATATTATTATTATGTTCTTATGATTTTTTGTTTATGAAGTATTTGTACTTTTTAACTTTTTAAATTTTTGCATTATTTGTGATTCCTTCTGAATTTGTTATTCCGAACTACACAATCTCTGTTATATATTATTGATCATTAAGTAAATCATATTGATCGTTCCTTGTAAATTTATCATACCATTGTGAATACTTTTTTTAGTTATTTATAAATGTAAAATTATAATACTTATTATTGTGTATATATTGATTATTACATTTATAAAAAATTTAATTGTTATGTAAAAAGTTTGTGATATATTTGAAAATATATTTTGTACTTCGTATATTTTTTTTCTCATTTCCAATATAAGAAATTATTTAGGTTTTCTTATTTTGAATTACGTATGCGAACCATATCTAGGAATAATACCAGCGGTTGATTTATATACTGAAACAAGTGCTGCCTCCTTTAGATCGCTAAAAATATTAAAATGGCGGTAATGTCAAATGGCCTCAGATAGCGATCTAGTTATGTTTACTTATCTATGATTTTAA